TATAGAGTCAAAAAGCATAACCAAAGTACCATTTCTGCAATAGAACCTTAGTGCTGATTTTTATTATGCCTGTATTGTAATTTATTGATTGATCTTGATACATCTTGCTGTAACATTCTGAGCTTTAAATTGATTGTGGCAGACTGTCAAGGAACAATTAAGATGAAGCGTGGAAATAAAAGCAATGTTCTTTTGCTCTATTGATTATTTTGTTATACATTGTTATATTTCTTTTCATGATTTATACACATTCATCCATGTGCTTTCTTTCCCAAGCAGTAGTTTAGCAGAATAGTATCTAACATATTTTCAGCCAATCAAAAAATATCATATTTACTGAAACAAAAGGTTGAGGCTTCTACTATTTTTCCTGGTTTAATAAACCTTGTAATCATCCCATAAAAAGTAATTGATAGTAATTGAATGAATCAACAAAAAATTCGTAAGGGTTCCGCGGAACCCAGTGTCTCGCCTACTTTTGGTGTTAATCGCAGGCTCAACAAAAATGAGGATAAAAATTAATAAAAATATTCCCCTCTATACTATGTTTTGATTGTAAGTAGCTTCTGTCCAAGTTTGGTAAAAATCCAGGATAATTTATGAATCTAATAAATGTTTTAAAAACTTAAACTGCAGAATGTATGTAATGTTGACTGGAAGAAAAACTAAGTCCATTTATAAGTAAAATACAGAAAAAATGGAACAAAATTTTATCAAAATTTCCTTCTAGATACTAGCTTTTGATCATAAACAAGCTTCTGTCCAAGTGTGGTACAAATCCAGGATAGTTTAAGAAAGTTGTTAAAATTTTAAAAACTTTAACCACAGAGTGAATGTGATGTTAACTGGCAGAAAAACTAAGTCCATTTATAAGTAAAATACGGAAAAATGGATTATTTTTTTTTACAAAATTCACTTCTGGATACTATCTTATGATCATAAACAAGCTTCTTTCCAAGTTTGGTAGAAATCTAGGATAGTTTAAGAAAGTTATTGAAATTTTAAAAACTTTAACCACAGAGTGAATGTAATGTTAACTGGCAGAAAAACTAAGTCCACTTACAAGTAAAATACGGAAAAAATGGAATTTTTTTTTTACAAAATTTACTTTTGAATATAATCTTATGATCATAAACAAGCTTCTGTCCAAGTTTGGTAGAAATCCAGGATAGTTTAAGAAAGTTATTAAAATTTCAAAAACTTTAACCACAGAGTGAATATTTGTGGACGCCGCCGACGACGACGACGACGACGACGCCGACGGAATGTAGGATCGCTATGTCTCGCTTTTTCGACAAAAGTCGAAGGCTCGACAAAAAGCATCAACATTCATTGTAAAAATTATCTGTGGAATGTCAAAGAATTTGGTATTCATAGAATTTGGACACTCTATATTGTACCCTTACCTTATAACTAGCATATAAGTTCACATATATTTAAAGCATGAAACACACTAAATAGGAGAAAAGTAAATCTATATTTAACAAATGAGGTAAATTAAAAAGCACATGCATTGGATTTGATTTTTGGTGTTTTAACGCCACTTTTAAGCACCGCTTTTGGGCTTTTTTGTGGCGGCCAGTTTTTATTGGTGGAGGAAGCCGGAGTACCTGGAGAAAACCACCGACCTTCGATAGGAAAACTGACAATCCTAGTCAATTAAGATTGGAGTCAAGTGCACCCGCACGAGTGGGGTTCAAACTCACAACCTCAGTGTTGACTGGCTAGTGATTACAGTAGTAACTTCTTAGACCACTCGGCCACCGAGGCCCCCACATGCATTGGAAGGAAATAATATAACAGGGAAAATGGCAAGGAAATAAATCTATATAGAAAAAAAATATAGAAATAATGTATAACCTATTTGAAGTTTTATTTTGTTTAACCGTATACATATACTAGTGCATAAAACGAAAAATGAAGGAAAAAAAACAGTTCATTAAATTTAAAATATATTCCATTAAAAGAACCATAACTCTATTTTCCAATATTAAAGGACTTTTCTCAGAGTGTGTACTTTGAATAAAGTTTGTTTAAACTGAAAAGGCACAAGCATCTACAAATATTTTGGCAAGTATTATAATGCTAAATCATATAAAAATCATACTAATTTATTTATATATATATGAGGTGTCATCTAAACCAAAAAAGTCCTTATCTTCTACACAATGTTTTGGTGCTTAGATCTATTAAGGGCTATTTTTACTCTTCTACATATAATAACACATATAAGTATTTGATTTTTTTAAAGATGTTTTTTTACACCATTCACAAGTTACTCTGTTGATTTATTGTTTCAGTGTATTCTAAGCCCTGAAACACATTTTCTGGATTAGACCTTACTTTGCAAGTTTCTTATCACAGCAGCAAATGGACATGTTGGATAATTTCAAAAAGACATTTGCAATCGAGAAAAAGTTAACAGAAATATACACTGGTGTCAAATTTTCTATTTATTTGAATGGATATGTAATAGGAAAATTTTAAGCATAGAAATTAACTGTCCGTTTCTGTTATTACAGATATCAAGGAAATTGGGATATTATTAATTCAGCTGATATCAAGCATACTTGTTTCACGGAAACACCCCCCCCCCCCCCCCCCACCCAACCCCCCACCCCCCAAAAAAAAATTCTTTTACAAAATTTTCCTGGAAAGCTGAATATTTTCTAAATATAATTTTTTAATAGAAAATTTGTCAATGTCAAAACATTAATAAGACATGCAAGACTTTGACAGAGAACTATCAATTTCTCTACAGTTCTTTATTTTATGTCCCTTCTACAGTAAAGTTGACCAGGTTGTTTGTTGGTCAATGACATTATAAATTTAGAAAGCAGAATTTGGTTTCAACTGTTCTGGTGGTTTCTGTGGTGAAGATTTAAAAAAAGTTTACAATGGATATTTGACATGTGACAGCAATATCTCACATTTGCCTCTTGCCCATGAACACTAAAAATAGTTCCTATGGTTTGGATTACACAAAATTATGATTCTGATCAAAACATAAAAATTTAGTAACAATTGAAAAATGGTTGAGTCTTCAAATGAAGACATGTGTTTACTGTAGTTTCCAAATAATATATGCAGAAATGAAAAAGTCTATGTTTTTCCAAAATTCACACAGGTCAAAAACTTAAATAGCAGGTGCACAACTTTCCTGTCCTGCAGAAAAAAATCTATGCAAGTTTGGTTGAATTCTATCAAGTTGTTTTCAAGGAGTTTCAGATTAACAAAGTGTGACACATACATCAACACAAGACAAGACATGATCCCTATGTATAATCAGAGGTAGACATATAACATTTGAGATTGACATCAAGTGGAACCAGTAATAACTGAATCCTCCTAAAGAATATTCAGTTCAGTTTAGAAAGGTTTCCAGTGTAAATGGTTTCACTGTACAATTTTTTGTTATTTTTTCATTCTCCAGATAAGTTCGTCATTAATGCATGTATTTATATCACAATTCTTATAGTTAAGTATACAAATAAACTAATTTTTGTACTATTTCTATACTTTCTACAAAACTTTGTTCTATTTACAACTTATATTTTACAATATTATAGACCGTAATCTGGTTGAGTATTACCTAAACTACTTTTTTCATTTAAACAAAAAACAAAATAATAATAATAATATTAATGATAATAAAAACAACTTGTATATATAAATTTGATAGCATAATGCAAAATTCAATCATGTAAACTATGCAAAACATTCAAAATCAATGGACTATGACATAGTGGCTAAACAGTTTCCAATGAAAAGATGTACATTGATTTTCACTATAAAAAATAAAAGCATAATATCAGAAACATCACACATCAACTACTTCTATATGATTTTTTTTTTGGAACCTAAATGTAAACAAAATCATTCTTACTGACCAAGAAAAACAACTCTTAATCATTAGCAACAATGTAATACATTATAAACTATTCACCAGGAAATTTTATTTAAGCACTTTGACATGTATATGACTCACATTTTTTATATAAATTTCATATAAAATAAAATCCTGTAAAACTTGTAGTCACACACATAATAAATCTTCATTTCTTACATATCATTTCATATCTCTTCTATTTCTATATTTACAGCATATACCACACGAAACAATTTCTGACAAACAAATACTGTTACTTCTAAGTAAGGGAAATAACTCATTCAAAATCATAATTTTTTTTAACCCTGGGAAGGGCAATAGCAAATTTTTATACAGTCTTTAGTCTCTCCTTCTTCAAAAATTACCAAATTATTAATTTATTTTACTTTCATTTTGATAGTATAAATTATGATTTCTTGTAAAAATGACAGAAATATTTGCAATATTCACAAATTATTTATTACAACCAAAAAGGTCTTTCCGTAAAATAACAAAAAAAAGAAACAAAAGAATTGCATTGGTATAATGACACTTGTCATTGGAGAATTAAACACAAATGTATTAAGAGAATGTTAAAAGCTACCAAAAAAATGATTGATTGATTTTTAGTGTTTAATGCCACTTTCTGCAATTTTAGCTATTTGATAGCAGATAGTATGTATTGGGTGGAGGAAGCTGGAGGGCAAAGGGAGAACCACAACCTTCAGCAGGAAAACCAGCAATCACAGTCAATAAAGATCTATAGAAAGCACTTTGTCACCAGCAGGATTTGAACTCACAACCTTGGTGTTGACCGGCTAGCAATCACTGAAGATGAACTTATTAGACCACTTGGCCATGTAATCCTTTTCTTGAATGGTCATCATTATGGTTTAATACAATTTTTGTTTGAATTTAATTTGAAAAGTAAGTATTCTAAAGTTCAGTAGCTCTTCTTATAAAAATCCTTTCAACTAAAATTGACCGTAACTTATACTAGAATGTTCATGAGTATTTCTTCTCATTATTTTTTTTGATTGTGAAATTGATTGCAGAAAGAGATTAAAATCTTTTTCAATGGAAGACTTTTGACATTATAAAGTTTTTTTTTTTTTAAATCAAACAATAAATTTCAAACAATAAATTTGAAACAAAAAATCCTGGAATGTAAAATATATTTTTACCTGTCTGTTTCATTACACTAAATAATTAGTGACATATTTTAAATGCTTCATGATTAGTTCCTTTAAATAATAATAAATAATTTTCTGTATCCTGAATTGAACTTGAGATTACAGTTTGATGCTAGTTACTTTCCCTTCCAAGGGGGAGGTACTGGTTCTCTACAATACTGAGCTATGATAAAAAGTAAATAACAGTTTAGCATGTTTTAATTCCAGCAAAACATAAGATACATGGGCTTGATGTCACAACAGGATTTTGAATTTGTATGCTTCAAGTCATAAAACACTTGATTATTTATAACCTGTGTTGCTTCATAAATTAAAATGACAAATATAACTTTCAAATGAACATAGAATTATGAAGGGGACTCAGTACTACTAATCATAGCTCTGTATGCTGCATTGCAGCAAACCAGTGGTGCTCCTAAGGAAGGAGAATAAATTGTATTCAGTTGTATCTGAATAGTGTCAGTTCTTTATTCAGGATACTATAATTCAATAAAAAAGGTCATACCAACCTTATACAATTAAAAAAAAAAAATAATATATACATTTATAAACACTGTGGAGTTCATCAATACAACACAATGTTAGGTCTAGTTAAAAAAGACTAGAAATAAATCACATCTTATCTATGTTAATATTTCTTCATTATAAGTACATTAGTTTATTTTAAATGTCAGTGAGAGTAGATGACAATGGACATTTCATTGAGAGTAGATAGCTATGATATTTTAGGAAATCTTTAAAAAAAAAAAAAGGAAAAGTAAGTCTAAACGTATTTGTATGCTTTAAGTACGTGGAGTTCATCAGTACTACTTAATGTTAAGTTAAGTTCTAAAAAGGCTAAAAATAAAATCACATCTACTCTAATATATCTACTACATATATATGTACATTTAAGTGTATTTGGAATGTCAGTCAGAGAAGAAACAGGCTGAAGTTTGCAATGACTTACTGTAGATGTATTTCTTTTTATGGAGACAAAATTTTGTTGTAAAATTTATTGAAATTTTTTATGAATAATGGTTTTGTGGCTATGAATAATTCTGAATTCAAGTGATGTTATATTTAATAAAAGCTTTAGTTCATGGCTCATGTATATTAACAAGATCCATGCAAATTATTACACAATAATATAAATAGTTATGAAGCACCACAACATAACTATATCTAAATGTCGATTCTGATTGGATAATGATGGAAATTTCTGAACAAGAAACTTTTAATTGGCAATCTCAATCTAACTTATGACATTAATGAATCTGATATCTAAAATCTTGCTTCTTTGGTTTTTTTTTGTTTGTTTGCTAGTTATTACAGTAATGAAAAAAAATTTGCCAGTTTCAATCTTACATTAAAAATTACTATTCAATAGATCAATTCAATTGAAAGACGTTTTGGAAAAATAATGTTGTTTTTTTCGGTTAAGTAGGAAGTCAGAGCATATAAACAGAAGCAGTCAGCACAAGCATACATTTCTGTCTTTAACAGTGCATGTGCAGTATTTAAAGTTCTTATGTTTGTATTGTTATATTAATGTTAATTTTTTTTGCCTTAAATGTACTGTATTGAATTAAGTAGTATATTCAAAAGATCTTCAGAGCTTATGTTATTCGTATATTTGCACATCAAGTTTAATTAAACTTTTGAAAATAACTTTGATTTTTTACTTTCAGTCTAAAATTTGATTTATGTTCATGTATTTTAAACTTTGCTTATTTACTAAACTACTGACACATTTTAAATATAAGACACAATCAATGTTTAAATACTGTTGAATTCCCCCCTTAAATCTAAAACTCTGCCTATTTACTAAACTACTGACAATTCTAAATATAAGACACTATCAATGTTTAAATACTGTTGAGTTCATGTTTACATTAAAAATATGAGATTTCTATCCATTCAGGCCATCTTGTGTTCAGTCAATGGGTTATGTTCAAATTCATAATCCAAATGAACGAACGCTCTTTCCACTTCTTTCAGTCTTTCCAGCTTTTGTTGAAGGGGTTCTCCAATGTCGTGGGCTTCTTTGAGAGTCATGTCCTCTGGAAGAACAATGTCCACTTCCACGAGGAAATTATTTCCAAAATGGAATGCCCTCACAGTATCTACATATTGAACTTTTGGATGATGATTCACACAAATCCAAGTCAATTTTTTCAGGAAATCAGGTTTGGCTGTATGTCCAGTCAACATCTTGATCTGACCTGCAAAATAACATAATACAATTACAGATGAACCATGGGTGCACAAGCCAAGGTGCGATTTTTATGAATTGTAGTAGAAGAAAATTGTTTTTGGTCATATACTGGTTTCTTAGTTTTTATTGATGAAGACTGTAAAATCTGCTAACATTTAATTGAGGAAAACCAAAAAATTGCACTTTTAGTCTTTTCATTGCTGGTGTTACCTTGACCTTACACCAAGTGACCTCAAAATCAATTGGAGTCTTTTTCTCCACAAGGAGAAATATCAACTAACGATTTGTAAAGGTCTGAAACCAAAATAATTCTATTTTTGCAGATCACAATATAATTTACCAAGTTTTGACCCTTTAATCATGCATTATTTGTGTTGTAACGTCAGTTTGGTTTAATTGTTTACATAATTTTTAACAGTATTTAGCAAAGTTAACTTTGGTCTATTATATGCTCTTTTGAACTAATTTGTCTTACCTAGCATTAAGGCTTTTAAAAAAGATCTATTTAAGAACCAAATTGTGGCCTTTTTTATTCTCTATGACAAAATTGAAATTCAAAGCCATATTTTGGCAAAAGTGAACCTAGTCCTTTATGCTACAGGGTACTTTTGTGATTTTATCTTAATAGCAAAATTAGTAAAAATAAACACCTCACGAAAATTTACACACACATTACAGTATCTTTTAGAGCTAAACACATAAAGCAACAGTCTAAAACTTACCATAACCCTAACCATAACTTAAGGATGTTCGCTCCTCTGTTTCAAAATAACAAGCTTTTTAAAAGACTGTTATAAATTGATAGTATATAAATAAGGGATCTTAAAAAGCAGATAAAATGAAAGGTCCTTGTCCTTGTTTTTGAGATATAATCAATTGAAAATTTGGCCGGAAATGATTCTTTCTAGATTTTTCAAACATTTAACATTGGCCCCTTTTTTCTTTCAAAAACTATAAAAAAAATAACAAGGATTTTATAAGATTTTCAAAAATGGCTTTTTAAACTATATGTAATAAAATTATGAAAAGAAAAGTAGGGGTTGGCAGGCAAAATTCTTAATGGCACTACATGTATAAAACTAGAGGATTCAGACAAAAAGTCAAATACAAGAGTAACGAACATCCTTAACCTGTTCCTGCCATAACCCTAATCTCAGAGTTTTGGAATACCCATATTAAAGTGAAAAAATATCCAGAAAATTATCTTACCATATCCAGTGATCCACCAGTTTATAATTATATAAATAGATATAACTATTGCTCCGATAGGGTCCACATAAATTAATCCCTTTTCACCAGTCTTATCTAATAATTCCTGGGACCCTACAAATATGAATAGGAAAATTACTTCTTTATTAACATCAGCTCTATTGAAGTAGTCCTTGTTTAACATTCTACTCTGTCTAACATGAATACATTTTTTTTTTAAATTCACTAATTGCCTAGACTTTTGGAACAATTTTTAATTTAACATATTTTTACAGTTTCACTAGCAGATTTAGGGGGGTTTGGGGGGGGGGGGGTTCGCAAACCCCCCCCCCCCCCCCCCCCCCCCCGCTGAGAAATCTTAAAATAATTTTTGTATTAATCATTTCTTGCTTTAATGTTATCTTTACTATAAATTGAATATCCAGCACTGAATAGGGTGACACGTTGTCGCTACACTCCTTTAAATATACACATGTCACAATTAAATTTGCCTAAGGGGAACTTGATAATTAGAGGATCAAAGGATTTAATTAAGACAATCCAATTAAGGGTTTTATGATTAAAACGACGTTTTCTGTTAGCTTGATTTGAAGAAAATTACTTTTCACCCTATCATATCCATATTAAGATTGTTTTTTTAAATGACACCTGCTGAATCTAAGAATATTACAAACTTCTATTCCACATCCGTACCTAGTGCTCATATGTGTAGCATTCTAAATTAAAACTGGAATCCACCAAGTTCTTTTCCTTTTTATAAACAAGAAATGTACGGGTTAAAAAGATGCTTCAAATATGCTTGGTTGCACTTTTTCCCATGCATTTTCTATTCAACTTCACAGGATGGAATTTACTGCAAATTTTGCGTTTTGATCGCTACTGACGACAACCCCGGAAAGTTTGTTAAAAAGACCCGTTCAGAATTGGGTAAAGGCAAATGGTGAATGTTAATCTCACGAAAAAAAACACCACCAAACAGCCTTATTAAGATCGCAAGACTTTACCAACACACATAATAAGTCGGCTAGTGGAATAGATGCAAGCTTAGGGCTGATACAGCAATTGCTAAACGGGTGGATACAATCTGTAATTAAATAATTGAACTTATCTAAAAAGTTTATTTTGAGTAATCATATGCCAGGTGAACAAAAAGTGTGCCAATTATTGAAAAACATGAGGTTTGGTATAACAAGAAAACTTCTCTAATATATATTAATGTTCAAAAACGTTTCTCACAAACCCCCCCCCCCCTTTAAGCTCTGGATCAGCGCCTGAGTTTGTATATATGTTGTGCTGTTATAGCAATGTCCCAGTAGGGTTGAAGGCTCATAAACATGGTTTAACCCTGCCACATTCTGTATGTGTGTGTTCCAAGTAATGAGCCTGTAAACAGTGGTTGTCTTTGGTGGATGTATATCATATTTTTTTTATTGTTTTGTACATAATCAGGCCATTGATTTTCTTGTTTGACATTTTGTAATGTTGGGGCCTTTTATACTATTTTATGGCATGTGGGTTTTGCTCATTGTTGAAGGTGGTAGGGTGACCTATAGTTGCTTACATTTACATTATTTTGTCTGTGGTGGATTGCTGAAGACTGTATAGTGACCATCAAATGTATTCTGAATTTTTTGTAAATTTGGTCTCATTGATGTATGCCCACTTTTCTTTCATTTATAGTAATTTGCTGTTTCACAATCTAAATCACTATGGTTATTTCACTGTCCATACCTCAACAAAAATAATACCTAGTCATTTGTTGAATTTCCATTGTTTAGAAAATATTACCCAGAATGCATTTAATTCTGAAACATGGTGCTCTGTTTAAGATGATAGTTTTGTTGTAAGATACAATAATTTAATTTGGGTTGGAAAAAGATGATTCTAAATTTTAATTTCTTGATATGAAATGTTTTGGAAAAACAAGAATGATCTTCTTTGTCCTCTACCGACGAAGTCGAAGGGGACTTTAGGTTTGCACTCCGTCCGTCTGTTTGTCTGTCCATCCGTCATTCCGGCAAATCAGTTTTCCACACTTTTTTTCTTCATGCTTCAAGATATTGATTTGATATTTGGTGTATTGTTTTATCATGACAAGTTACAGATTAAGTTTGAATTTTGTTCCGGTCTGATGATTTTATGCAGAGTTATGGTCCTTGGACTTAGAAAATTCACTCAAATAATCAGTTTTCCTCACTTTTTTTCTTCATGCTTGAAGATATTAATTTGATAATTGGTACATATTTTTATCATGACAAGTTACAGATCAATTTCGAATTTTGTTCCGGTCTGATGATTTTGTGCAAAGTTATGGTCCTTGGACTTAGAAAATTCACTTAAATAATCTGTTTTCCACACTTTTTTTCATCATGCGTGAAGATATTGACTTGATATTTGTCATATAGTTTACACCATGGCAAGTTATAGATCAAGTTATCATTTCGTTCCAGTATAATGAATTTTTAACCGGTAGGGGACTATGTATTGCCATGCAATACTCTCAGAATGTTTGTTATCCTACTCTTTAAGATTAACAGGGAGTGTTTCATATAACAGAAGATCCACATTTGACATATTTGATTCTACATAAATCTATGCATTGGCTAGAGGTATAGGGGGAGGGTTGAGATCTCACAAAACATGTTTAATCCCTATGTATTTTTGCACCTGTCCCAAGTCAGGAGCCTCTTGCCTTTGTTAGTCTTGTATGTTTTTCAATTTTGGTTCATTTATATGTTTCGGAGTTTAGTGTGATGTCCATTTTCACTGAACTAGTACACATTTTTGTTTAGGGGCCAGCTGAAGCACGCCTCGGGTTGCGGGATTTTCTGGCTGTATTGAAGCCCCATTGGCGGCCTTGGGCTGTTTTCTGCTCTTTGGTCGGGTTGTTGTTTCCTTGACACATTCCCCATTTCCATTCTCAATTTTATTCTACACAGAACTGTTTATATTTGCTAAAAAACTCAACCATTATAATGTTTGACTAATTTACATATGCATTTGTCCTTGAAACGCTTCAAAGGTGATCTTACCTACATATCCACACACCAGGGCCACAGCGTTTGACAAAACATCATTCCGATGATCAAGTGCCAGTGCTTGAACTGTTGGTGTCTTTACACGTCTGCATACTAACCACAATACAAACTTTATTACTAGAAAATATAAATATGATTTATAACATCTTCATTTTGATATAGATTTTCAGAGTAAACATTTTAAAAAGGTTTTTATAAACAAGAAGTCATACTGAATGACAGTAAAATATAAATAGAGTTTTATTCCTATTTTTCATTAAATTTATACTTGTCAATTATGAGTTATTTCCCTTTCAACATGTATGTTGGATATTGGTTTTTGTTGTGCTTTTCATTTTGTTTCTCAAACCTCTACTCTATAAACACTTTAGAGGTGCTTCACTACATGCAATATCATGTCCAATTGATGACATTGTTATTCAAGGTAACCAATCTGTTGTCTTTTTAGATCACTAGGCTGTCAACACTAATATTGTGAGTTTGAACCCCCTTCCATAAGGTGCGTTGACTGCAATCTTAATTGATTAAAATTGCAAGTTTCATTGCCAAATGTTTGAGTTTTCTCTGGGTATTCCTTACTATTTACTACAGTCTTGAATGAATTTCCTTAGTATATATGAAATTTACTTTCACAATCAAATAAACAGATGTAACTCTTATATTGTTACTTGAAGTAACTTTTAGGTAGGTACTTTGTCTTTTGTCATTTGTTAGTTGTTGTTTTTTTTGTGCTTTCTGCTGATCTGATGAGGCAGGCCCTTTTTAATTGATTTGTACAGTATGTTCTTATGTACATGTGGTGCTGTTACACCACTGCTGAAAGTTTATAGGGGAGTGTTAAGTGCTCACAAATATGTTTAACCCTACCACATTTTTGAAGTGTTTATCCCAAGTAAGAAAGCTGTCATTCATTTTATCATTGGTTGTTGTCTGTCATAATTGTGTTTCATTTATTGTTTTAGCAAAAATTAGGCCTTTGGTTTTACTGTTTGAATTGCTTACTCTACGGTATGGGTTGGCTCATTGTTGAATGCTGTATGGTGACCTATAGTTGTAAAGATCCTTTTCATTTGGACTCTTCTGGAGAGTGGTCTGATTGGGAATCAAATCACATCTCCTTATTTTTATATAAATATGGGGAAAGAATCATCTTGTGTGAAAAAAGTATTTTCTCGCAAATTTGTTTAAATTTTTTTTTTGCTATTTCTAAAAGGTTTACATTGGTTCATAACTATATAAATCACAAACAGTATAACAAAAATTAAACTGGCGCTGTTAAAGCAGAAACAATATTAATTGTCCTTTATTGGAAAAAGAAGTAAGTTGAAATAAGGATATGATCAATCTAAAAATCAAGAGCATAATGGTCTGGATTGGGTTTACAGAATAAATATTAATGGACCAAAAAATAAAGAACGGAGAAAAAGAGGTATTAAAATATAAATGAATGAAAAATTAGAAAATATAAAGCATAGAGAAAATGGCCTGAAAACAAACAAAACAGAAATGAAGGTTTCATACCTATGGCTGAGGCAGTAATTACTATGGTAGCGATATCAACTGTTGGTGGTTTGCTGTCACCTGTTGTTAAATTAATGATTTTCTCTATTGATTCCCTGATCAACTGGACGGATGCTAAACTCATCACAACTGATAATATCACAATAGCTATTGGTTCCAACTTGGTACGACCTGAAAAGTAGTTTTTAACTAGGTGATGTGTAAGTAAATAAACTCATCAAAGATAAAATGTTGTACGCAGACACAGATTTCGTCTACAAAAGACTCATTAGTGGCACTTGAATAAAAAAAATTAAAAAGGCCAAATAAAGTATGAAGTTGAAGAGCATTGAGGACTGAAGTTAACTATCTAAGAATCTAAGAATAAAATGATAAACAGCTTGTCATGTGTTTTTATTAAATCAACAATAAAAGTACACTAAAAAAAAAACTGAATCACTCAACAGGCAACTATGCTAGATACATTTTGATTGCAATCTTTAGGGAAGACTTAATGTGAAAGTATTTAAATTTGGGAATCAAAATTAGTGTGGTTAGTTGATAATTTGGGGAGTTCTGAATGATTTTGATATAATTGTCTATAACAAGCTAAGATAAACATCAGCCAAATACATTTGTAATTCCAATGAAGGGAACCTTATGTGTCAACAGATATATGTTGTCTTCATTGTAAGCAAAGTATAAGTACTGTATGAAAAATCATAGTGAATCAAGAATGTGTCTATAGTACATGGATGCCCACTCACACTATCATTTTCTATGTTCAGTGGACGAGAAATTGGGGTCAAAACTCTAATTTGGCATTAAAATTAGAAAGATCATATCATAGGGAACATGTGTACTAAGTTTCAAGTTGATTGGACTTCAACTTCATCAAAAACTACCTTGACCAAAAACTTAAACCTGAAGAGGGACAGATGGACGAACGGAAGGACGAACAGATGGACGGACGGATGGACAAACGGACGCACAGACCGAAAAACATAATTCTCCTAGGTGGGGCATAAAAATAGAATATCTTAAATGTAAATAACAAAGATTACTGAAGCCTATCTTAACTTTTGTAGTTGGCAAGGGGTATACTATATTTTTTTTTTATTTTTTATATAGCAAAATGGTTTTTGAGGGAGTTTTCAGAACTTTTTCGCTAGAACAAAGATGTGATAATGTTTTCTTAAAATTTGCTGAACATAATTAGGCGAATTTTTTTTTAACGATCTTATGCCAATTAATGATATCTTACAAATCAGACTGGGGCTAATGTATGCCCTCTCACCCTCCTGAATCCACCACTGGTCCCACAAAAAGGACAAATCACACAAAACAGGTTGGCAACATTAGAAATAAAAATACAAGAGTAGAAACTAAAGAAAATATAAAACATACCTTGAGGATATACATATGGAAGCCTTTGTCGTATGGCTCTACCAGTAACCCAGATAATCACTCCTGATGACAAGTCTACGACACTGTCAACCAAACTGGATATGATAGATATAGACCCTGATAAAAAGGCAGCAACTGCTTTAGCTGCCAATAGTACCTACAATAAAGAATTACTTTTTTAATTTGTTTTTGATGGGTCAATCTTGCATTTGCTGTGAATGATAAGTGGTTGTTTCTATTTGTACAGGACTTTACACTGTATTTTAGAAGAAGTCATTTATCAGTTAGCCACAGCAAAAAATAGGTATGTTTTAGGGTCAGCAGGTCAAGATTTTCTTCTGGTACAATATCGTGTCTTCACTGAGTTTAGTGAACATAATGACCATTTTTGATATAGATTTCATTAATTCTGTCATGGATTTTAATAAGTACGCCTATACAACAACTGATATGATGGTTAATAATTCATGGTGAAGAAATTATGAAAAAAATGTTAGCCTTAAAATAAGGGTAGGAATTGACCAGAAAAAAACAAAACATACATTATTATTTTTTACTAAATTATCTTGCACTTTGTCAATTGGTCTAAAGTTGATGCACAAACTTTTTTCATCTTCAATTATTCAATGAATTCATTTTTATTCCTGGGGTACTAGTTTTCTTGGAATTTGTGGTTGAAGGTCAACCATGAATTTAAATTTTCCACAAACTGCAAATTTCTTATAGGCTTGTATGCTGTATTTGTTTTAGTTTAAACATATTTTATTTGCATAGAAATTAAATGGATAAGACACAAGTCAAACAGGCTTATGAAGCCTTCTCCATATTTGTTAAAACCATGAAATCAAGTATTCACACAATAACTATTCTGGTCAATTCATTATTACAGCTGACATTTTGCAATATGTTTTGAAGAAAAATCTGATAATCAGAAATTATAAAGTTTGCTTACTTGTGTTTCTTTACTATTTCCACTTTCAGAAAGAATTTGGTATTAGGTCTTATCCCTATACTGGAATCTGTGATATTTATAGATTATCGTTGGTCATCTCAACAAGATTGATTTTCTCGCTTGATCCGGTACTGAGAAAGTGAGAAAAGCGATTGAGTTGAGATGACCAATGATAATATGTTTATCGCTATTTTACCTTTTTCATTGACAACGGCACATGCGCCATTAGATTCTAGCAATAATTTTTCATATCACTCTACTGTGCTGAGAAAGGAATTATCAGTCAGTCAGATCAAAGGAAAATTTCGTAAAACAGCGATAATTATAGATTATCGATGGTTTTTAAACCAAGAGGGTGTTTCTAAGCTACTACTTCATAGAAGGGTGAGAGCCCTGAGATGAGATGTAGCCAAGAAACATTCTTGAGTTTGAAAAGACCATTGATAATCTGTTTATTGCTATTTTCCTAGGCAACCTCAATGACGTAGGCTTATGCCGCCATACATTCTCTTTCTTCTCGTCTGAGAAAAACCCATATCTTGATATGAAAAATTATCACAAAAAGAGATCAAAGCACAATTTCAGATAGTAGTGATAATTTGTAACATTTCAACAATTGACACAGCAATCACTTTTGTCAAACCTTGTGACATCACATATATTTACAGGAATGTCTGTGATGTCCAGTAAAGGCAGAAAAATAGCGATAAGAAGTATTACTCACCAGATTTGCAAGGAATGTTATTTTAGCATACAAGCCAGCTGTTTTCAGCAGTTGTTTTGCTTCCTCAGAATCATCCATATCTTCATCCACACCCAGTTGTATGTCCTCAAATGCCCCTATAAGTTCATCCTGAGCTTTATAGTATGACCTAAAAAGAAAAAATCAAATTTCACAAGCAAGTACTGTATACTGAAAAAAGACTTTCATAATTCTTATCAACTACTTAAATTTGATATCTTTCCTTTTCATATAGTATAGTGTGAATATGCCATAGGATGGAGCAGAGGGTATTTTACTGCTGAGAAAGGGGAAGTTGACAATTGGAAAGTTGAAATCATCATGTTTATCATAGTTTCTAGTTTTAAATCGTGTATCTGTGTCAATATCAAGGAAAAGGTCACAATATGAAGCAGACCTTCTACAGCAGAGGAAGCCAGACAATCCTAGTAAATCAAGAACTGAGTTAAATGTACCTTGCCTAGAGTGGTGTTTAGATAACTACATGGACCACTTGACCACTGAGGCCCCTGAAGATGTTGGGTACTGTAAATTCAGAAATTATTGTGTGCATTTATTATTGCAAATTTTGAAGAATGGACTAAAATGCAAGATTAATTATTATGATTTCAGGAAAATATGCATACAATTGTATGTATCAGATATCAGAATGCAAGTTTTATTATTGAGATACTCAATTTAGTACCGCATTAATAAAAACCTTGCAATAATTTCTGAATTTACAGTATCTGCCTGTCTTAAGGACAGGATATTTGGATAATTATGTCAATGAGACAGCAACCAAACAACACAACTGAACAAAGGACATCTAGAGTGAGAAAATGATTGATTTATTAGCTGCAATTGAACTTTGAACTAGCTTTCAGTAACTGCCAGTACTCTTATATCGATGCTTTGTGTCTATTATTTTCATGTTAATTGTTAATTTTGTGCGTCATATCGATCTTTTGAGTTAAGTCATTTGCAACTGATTTTTACAGCTTGATCTTATGTTGTGCTGTTACACCACTGTCTCAGGATAGGGAGAGGGTTGAGCGCTCACAATGATGTTTATCACCACCACATTCTGTATGTGCCTGTCCCAAGTCAGGAGTCTGTAATCTAGTGGTATTCATTGGTTAATGTCTGCCTTATTTGTTTTTCGTAATTTGTATTGATATAAAGTAAGTCTTTAGTTTTCTCGTTTGAATGGTTTGATATTTTTCATGTCGGGCCTTTTATAGCTGATTATGAGGTATATAATTGTTTTAAGGCCGTACTGTGACCTATAATTGAGTATATCTACATCATTTGAACTCTAGTGGATTGTTGTCTCATTGGCAATCATACCCCATCTCCTTATTTTTATATAGATCAACATCCATTCTTTAATAATAGTCAAACACACATAGAGTGATTGTCAAATTTCAATCCATGATATGTTATCACCAGGAATGTAAGTCTGAGATTGCTTAGATGCAATATTGAATATAAATAACATTTCAAAGGATGATAATTAAAGTAATAAATTGCTTCGCCGAGCGCAGCTGGATACAACCGCAGAGGTCCAACCCTGAACAGTTGGGTCAAAAATGGACACAATATTCGCGCTTGATACAGGTCTGAATATGGATTGTAATCAAATATTTGACACATGATAGGTTTCTGACACAGAATAACTGTAGTCAAAGAACTTAGAATTGGTTATATGATTTGAATTTATATTCAATTTTTTGCTTTTGTGCAATACACTTTGCTATTGCGAATTGACCCCCCTCCCCCCCCCCCCCCCCCCCCAAAAAAAAAATTACCCCCCCCCCCTTTTTTTTTGCTTCTGTGCAATACACAGTGCTGTTGCATATACTAGAAAAATGCTTATTTGGGCCCCTTTTTGGCCCCTAATTCCTAAACTGTTAGGACCATAACCCCCAAAATCAATCCCAACCTTCCTTTTGTGGTTATAAACCTTGTGTTTAAATTTCATAGATTTCTATTTAATTATACTAAAGTTATTGTCCGGAAACAAACTGTCTTCTGACGATGCTGACGACAAAGACGTCATATCAATATATGACCACAAAATGTTTTGCGGTCGTATAAAAATGGTTGATGTGCAATGACTTTTGAACCTGTCCAAGACATTATGGACATAAACCTTTGATATTAATTTCAAAATAATCTAACAAGAAATATAGGCTTGAGAGCACTTCTTTTCAATTTTTCAAGGCGAAAATCAGTGTAATATGGAACCTCAGAGAAAAAATCACCAAGGAGCAAAAAGAACACATTGTAAATATTTCAACTGATTGTTTTCTTTTGTTATGAAATTTAAAACAAAACTGGAATTAATAATATAACCATCCAGAAATATCTCAACCAGTTGGAAGAGAGGGGAAATATGAAAAAATTTACATCAAAGTTTTTTTGGGGGAGGGGGAACAAAAAAAAAAACCACTCCACTCTATTGGTTTTTAAGATTTTTTTTATAATTTTCCTTGCAAATTCCTGGATTATCCATATACTCATTCAGTCTATCTTAGTACAATCAGTAAAATCCTATGAACAAAAGCATGCCACACTGTCATATCATACTCTATGACACATTATTGCTCTTTTAAGTCATTCATTTTACTAATATTTAGCTGTCTTTTAAATATTCCTCAGAAGGTTAACATTAAAGATCTTTTTATGTGTAAATCTAATCGCATTGGTAAATATCCAAGATGAACACTAGGTTATTTTTGTTGGAATGCTGTCCCATTGAAGTACATATCCCAAATGTCTTTTATTTATACTGAACATGAAACATATTTTAAGGATGTATTCTTCTGACGTTTCAGTTTCGTTGAAATCTCGTTCTAGAATTTCCAAAACATGTGATACAAGTGGAAAATATCAATGAAGTTAAAAAATACTGTAATCAAACTTAACTTTGTGAAAAAATTGTGTAGTTACAATAAGTAGTTTTTGAGTAATAAAATTTTCAAATTTTATAACCAATCAAGTCAGACTCATTAGCCAAAAGGTTGAGGAAATGGGTGAGGGGTACAAGAAATGATTTTACCAGATACATGTACATCCAATATCAATTTTTGCTTTTCAAATTTCTTAGATATGTATAATCAATCATTTATAACAAAGAAGTTGAAATAATATGCTTTTTGTTCTAAAAACAAGAGAAAAATCCCTAATTTACAAAACTGACAGCATGGTAAATTTTACATGAAAAAGCAACAAATTTTTATAAAAATTTCTTATATTAACACCTACCTATAGTTTTTTTTTAGGTTAAATCTATTCAGATTGGTCCACTTCATCTTAAATGAAAGTATGAAAAAAAAGTTTAATTGTGAAACTGTGATTTTTTACATAATAATAGCCCAAAAATGGGTAAAAATTGATGAAAAATCATCAAAATTGGGTACTTTCAAATGGCCGTAGCTAAAAAAGAAGTGCACCACTATATGATTTTTTCTTCACCAATTATTTTTTTACAGTCATATAAACTAATAAAATGCTTTGCTGAGCGCAGCTGGATACGACCGCAGAGGTCCAACCCTGAACAGTTGGGGTAAAAATGGACACAATATTCGCGCTTGATACAGGTCTGAATTTGAATTGTAATTAATAGGTTTCTGACACAGAATAACTGTAGTCAAAGAACTTAGAATTGGTTATATGATTTGAATTTATATTCAATTTTTTGCTTTTGTGCAATACACTATGCTGTTGTGAATTGACCCCCCCCCCCCCCCCCCCCCCCCCAAAAAAAAAAAAAAATTACCCCCCCTTTTTTTTTTGCTTTTGTGCAATACATAATGCTGTGGCATATTGACCCCCCCCAAAAAAAAATTAAAAAAAATTTTTACCCCCCCCCCCCCCCCTTTTTTTGCAAGAAAATTTCTTTTTAATTTCTGAAATCTGAAATGAGAAAAGATTGCCCCCACAATTTCCTTTTTACCACCCCCCCCCCCCCTTTTTTTTTGCCCCCAAAAAATAAATGTGGATTGTGGACACATGTGGACACAAATGATGCCCCCGCTTGCATTGCATAGCATATAGTTATAAAGGGACATAACTGAAGACCAGTAAAAGAGACACTACGCAAATTTGAACTTGATCTGAGTTTTGTGGTAATAAGCATTGTGTGTAAGTCTCATAACATTTGGTTGAGGCTAACTTAAAAAAAGAGAACAGAAACTAAAAATTCATCAATTTTTATGTTTATATGTTTATAAAAGGACATAACTCAAGAATGGTAAAAGTGACGCCACCAAATTTAGTACTTAATCTGTATTATGTACCGGTAGTAATAAGCATTGTGTATAAGTTTCATAACATTTGGTTGAGGCAAACTAAAGTTAGAGAACGGAAACAAAAAATTTGTACTTGATCTTAGTTTTGTGGTAATGAATATTGTGTATAGGTTTCATAATTTTTGGTTGGGGCAAACTTAAGTTACAGAATGGAAACTAAAAATTTTGCAATGTTTCGATTTATAAAGGGGCATAACTCAATAATGGTTAAAGTGACACTACCCAAATTCAACTTGATCTGTGTTTTATCAGTGGAAGGCAAAATTAAACATTGCATTGTATGAAGCATTGATTGTAGTTGATTCAACTATAATCATGGACAAAGGAAGATAACTTAAATTTTAAAAATTTCTTGAATAATGACATTGATATTTTCAGAAATTACATTTAGTTTAGACAAACTCAAGTTAAAGAACGGAAACTAAAAATTCAGCAATTTTTTTCATTTGTAAAGGGGCATAACCCTAGAATGGTAATCAAAGTGCTTGTAAGCACTGAATGGTAAAGATTGGTTTAATTTATCAGTAGGAAGTAAAATTGAATATTACATTGTTTAAAGCATTGGTTATAGTTGATTCAACTACCATTATGCACAAAGAAAGATAACTCAATTTTCAATGAAGACTTTAAAATATTTTTAGAAATGAAGGGTAAAAATTGCTTTAATTTATCAGTGGAAGGCAAAATTAAACATTGCATTGTATGAAGCATTGATTGTAGTTGATTCAACTATAATCATGGACAAAGGAAGATAACTTAAATTTTAAAAATTTCTTGAATAATGACATTGATATTTTTAGAAATTACATTTAGTTTAGACAAACTCAAGTTAAAGAACGGAAACTAAAAATTCAGCAATTTTTTTAATTTGTAAAGGGGCATTACCCTAGAATGGTAATCAAAGTGCTTGTAAGCACTGAATGGTAAAGATTGGTTTAATTTATCAGTAGGAAGTAAAATTGAATATTACATTGTTTAAAGCATTGGTTATAGTTGATTCAACTACCATTATGCACAAAGAAAGATAACTCAATTTTCAAAGAAGACTTTAAAATATTTTTAGAAATGAAGGGTAAAAATTGCTTTAATTTATCAGTGGAAGGCAAAATTAAACATTGCATTGTATGAAGCATTGATTGTAGTTGATTCAACTATAATCATAGACAAAGGAAGATAACTCCAATTTTAAAAATAACTTGATATTTAGGAAAAAAAATGAAAAAATTTAGCAATTTTTCCATTTGTAAAGGGCATTTCTCTAGAACAGTAAAAGTGACAGCACCAAAATTCAAACTTGATCTGTATATTATGGTAATAAGCATTGTGTATAAGTTTCATAACATTTGGTTGAGGCAAACTTAAGTTAAAGAACGGAAACCAAAAATTTAGCAATTTTTCCATTTATAAAGGGGCATAACTCTAGAACAGTATAAGTGATGCCACCAAAATTCAAACTTGATCTGTATTTAGTGGTAATTAGCATTGTGTATAAGTTTAATAACATTTGGTTGAGGAAAACTAAAGTTAGAGAACGGAAACCAACTTTGGGACATACGTAAGTACGTACAGATGGACAAGGGTAAAACTTAATGCCCCCTCCGCTACGGCGGGGGCATAAAAATTCGATCCCTCAAGATATGGTCATAATCTCAATTCAAATTTCCAATGGAGTTTGCAACCACAATTACCCCTTTAAATACATCATAAAAGTCTTAAAATAGAAAATGACATACATAATCATGGCTTAAATTAATATTCCTTTAATAGTAATTTCTAAGTATAAATTGACAGCTAATCACCTCAAGACAATACAACATTTCTTTATACATAATTTAAAAGAACTGTAATGGAGGTAAATCCAAACATACACAACATTGTACTTTAAATGTGTTTGGATTACCTCCCTAACACTGTTCAAACTGTCTATTAACCAGGAAACCCTTGTTTTTTCCCCCTTTTTTGCCCCTAATTCTTAAATGGTTTGAGCCATAACCCCCCAAAGCAAATCCTAACCATCCCTTTGTGGTATGGAAACTTGTGGTATAATTTCAGAGAGATCCATACACTGTTCCACAAGTTATTGTCTGGAAACTACAAAAATGCTTATTTGGGCAACTTTTTGGCCCCTAATTCCTAAACTGTTAGGACTATAACCCCCAAAATCAATCCCAACCTTCCTTTTATGGTTATAAACCTTGTGTTTAAATTTCATTTACTAAAGTTATTGTCCGGAAACCAAATATCTTCGGACGACGACGACAACGTGATACCAATACCGTATAAAAATCAGGTTAAGAAAAAAAGTTTAATTCTAGAAATTTTTGGCTCCTCAGAGGTGTACATCCTTAAAATAGGACATCCTACATTTAATCTATTAAATCAATATTGGCATCTTTAAAAAGGAAATTTCCTTCAGAAATCTACCGTGTATAATATGGCATCTGTTAACAAAGACGTTGCAGCCTGTACCAATTTTTTTTACATGTTTAAGGCTCAGTTTGAACTTGATGCTTTGGGGAAGCTTTGGTATGATGAATGAGTCTTTGCCATGAAGATAAAATTTAATGTTTAATGTGACAATACAAAAACAATTAAGGTATTGAAACCTGTCTCGGTAAAATTTGAATGTTTACTACATTGTACTTTCCAAAATAAAATTAAATGTTATATTATTCTTATTATTGTTTCAAAATATTTCATTGTTCTGAATCGTATTCTTGATCAATAGAATCCAGACTATCTAAACTCATGATAAAACATCGAATATTGATAGTTCCTGATGAAGACAGAACAAGGCAAATCACTAGAATCCAGAAAATTTTAACTCATAAAGTTTGGCCTTTGTAGTTGTTTTACTTCCTGGTGCATTAACACATCCTATATAGATAGTTCCTGATGTAGAAAGAGCAAGGGAGTATGGATGCAAGATTCCCATGTCACGGAGGTTGTAGTAGGTAATAATTTGTCCTTGGTTAGTCAGTATATGCAGTAAATGATTGTTCAAATCAGTAACAACGATATTATCTGATGGTGTTGTAAGTATTCCTACAGGTGTAAATGGATTGTTGTTAGTGTTGACATCAGAATGACCAGTGTAAATACCTAGTATGTCTCCTTCAGGTGATAACACTACCACTTGACCTCTGCGATCATCAGAAAACCAGTCCACAAAACAGATATTACCATTACTGTCACTGGTTATTCGTCTAGGGTAGTTAAAAAAATGTTTGTCATGTTTCGTACTGGTTAGAATTCTAGGCAAATCAAATAATCGTTTCTTACGATTGCAATATTCCTTTAGTTGTTTTCCTTCCTGATCCAATACAACAACTACACGTCTTCCTGTGGTAGAGTAGTTCTCTCCTGGAGACTTGGCTCCTATGATGACATTTTGATCACTGGTCACATGAACACAGATTGGATACAATGGTTTTACATCATACATGGAATCTGTTATCTGACCTTTCACGGTGTTGATTAATTTAATTTTAGTCGAATCTGTTGTGACAAGAAAGTTATTTGAATGAGTTTTTGCCATTCCAAAAATCTGAATGTTTAAACTTGTTATTACTTCAGTTCTATTCTCTGTTAGTATGACATGTTGTAACGTTGATCTGATACTATCCCCAATCCACATAGAACCATCAGAACATACTCCTATAAGGTGAATATCAGTAAGATCTGTTATATATTCTTTGGATATTTCAAACTTAATCTTACTCATCTGTTTTGACATCAACATTACCTTCCCTTTATTGTAGTCTTCTTCTTCAATTAACTCATGTTCATTATGAACTTTAGCAACACATTTCAAACAGATAATTTTATTACAAGTTTTACAATAAAGACAACAAGACTGCCCCAAATGTTCTTCACACTTGACATCACTGAATGTGAAAGTTTCATTTGATCCATCCTGTTTCCCTATATCTTTGATGGCTAGTATTTTATGATCCTTAGCAATCTTTAGATGGACCCTGTCCTTACAATTGTCGCACAACAATAAGTTGCATAGGATACATTTCCAATTAATCTTATTTCCAACTTCACATAACTGACATCCAACTGGAATTTGACTTTTTTGTATTGAACTTGCAAATGCCATTTTTAAATTTAAACATGTCAGACTTTTATACTTCCTTGTCTGTTTGTCTCTCACCATCTAACTTTATATTTCCTTTTCAACTTGACTTTATTGATAAATCAGTAGCTATTTGAATCTTCCCTTTTTACATGTATATCTTCCTTGTCCACTTGTCTCTATATTAATTTCAGTAGCTATTTAAACAAACTTTTTTTGACATGATTAAAATTCCAAGAAGAACCGCATCATCAATATTCAAATTTTATTTATTTTAGGGTATACACTGTCAGATCTTTTCAAGATTAAATTAAAAATTTTCTTTAGAGAAAATAATATAAATGGATAAATATAAATAAGAAGATGTGGTATGAGTGCCAATGAGACAACTATCCATCCAAGTCACAATGTGTAAAAAGTAAACAATTATAGGTCAAAGTACAGCCTTCAACATGGAGCCTTGGCCCTTATCCAAACATCTATGATTTAATGAACAAGGGTCCGTATCTGAGGAAGCTGAGGGTTCCAACCAAATCATCAACCATGGTCAAGCATGGCCACATCTCCAAGGGGCTAAATAAAGATGACAGTAGTTTACCAATGTTCAAATCTCAAAATATGTTAGGAAGAAACAAATCACGGCAACAAATCACACCTTAGAAGGTGCTGTGATCCAGCAAATTTGCTTAAACTAGTCAGACATTTTTTTTCTGATCTCATTTTCAATATGTTTTTGTATAATAACTCCTGTAGGATATTTTAAGAAATCCGTCAAACTTGCGATAAATGATTTTGGCCCAAATGTAAATTTGTGTTTGGACACAATTTCTTTAAAACAACAAGAGTGCACACATTGAAATGTCTTGCCTGCTTTACTTATGAATAAATTTTTGTTGAAAGTCTGTAATATAAAGGTTTTAATACAAGTATCATATAAACTTAACATTATCAATGATCAATGAAAATGAGGTCCTGGTCTGACATAAGAACCCTGCCAGACAGACATGCACACCTTACAATCATTCCATACACCAAATACAATTGCTTACAATATCTGATAAACTGACAATACCACAAAAAATAAACATTGATCAATGAACCATAAAAATGTGGTCACAGTCATATGAACCCAGCCAGACAGACGTGTACACCTTACAATCATTCCATACACCAAATATAGTTGACCTATTGCTTATAGTATCTGAGATACAGACTTGACAATGTAAACTTATCCTTAACCTTGATCACTGATCCATAAAATGAGGTCGAGGTCAGGTGAACCCTGCCTGACAGACCTTGTAAGGAAACCATATTCAAAATACACTTGTCATATTACTCATAATAAGTGAGTATTTCACATGACAAAAAAAAATATTAATTTTTTTTTAACAGTCACTGAACCATAAAAATGTGGTCAAGGACAATGGGCATTTGACAGACAGAAACTTGGTAACATAACGTATCTGCATACAAGGTATGAAGCTTCCAGGTCTTCTACCTTCTAAAATATAAAGCTTTATAGAAATAGTTTACCATGTAGCTGCCCCCCCTCCCCCCCTGTTGGATTGTATTCCCTATGTCTCACATTCTGCAAATTTCGTCACAGGCAAGACAAAAATTAGAGAGACAATACCAAGGGACAATATAAAATCATAACTCTTATAAGAACAGACAACATAACCTTCTGCAAGTCATAGAACACATCATTAGTTTATTAATATGTCTTGAATTCAGAATTTTGCACCATCTTAAAATCTGGAGTGATCACAAATATCCAGCATGGCTACATCAGAAATGCTCCAATTAAGCTGTTAGTCATTTCTGTAAAATATTTGAACTAAGAAAGACAACCCTGTCTTTTTTAATCTGCATCAGTGGACATACAATAACAAATTAAAACCTAACTAAACTAGATGTAGAATGATTGCCAATTAATGATATAACTATTTGTCAGAGTCCAAATGACCTTGATGTAAGCAACTATAGGTCACTGTACAGCCTTCAACTATGAGCAAAACTTATACTGTATAGTCAGCTATAAAAGGCCTCTACATGACAAAATGTTAAACAATTCAAAAGAAAAAAAAACCTAACTTTCTATGTTTGCTGTATGTAAAGCTTTTTTAATCTGCATCAGTGGATTTTTTTTTATATTTCCTGCTGCCTTTTAACAATGGCTTTAAACTCATATTTATTTCTTGGCCTGATTTATGACAAAACCATAAACGAAAAAACAAATATGTTAATGTGCCTGTTCTAAGTTAGGGAAACTGTCATTGGTTTTCTTTCTTTGTATTTTAAAGACTGTTTTTCCCCTTAAAGGAATATGGGGTTAATAGCAGAACTCATTCAGACAATTTAAATCTTTTAGAAAATCTCCTGTTTAAATTTTATAGAAATGAGTGGAACAGCAGAAGTATTGCAATCTACATATTTTCATAATTTCTTCAATGATCTCATTTTTAATTAGACTGAAGTATGTATGCTCCTACAGAGTTGTGAAACATAGGAATACATGAATTTAAAGAAATATGAAAGATTTTGTTAGTTGTACAAAATTATGCTGTGTTGTAAGACACATATAATGCCCTTGTATATGATATACATTACATGATAATATGGTTAGTATACATTATATATTTGTCAATGTTTGTGTAGTGTTAGAAATTTGCATTGGTGAAAATTTGACCCAGGGTCAGTTTTCCATATCATATGGTTCACCTGTACATGTATACCCCATGAATATAATAATGGTTTCTCAGTATTCCAACAAATATATTGCATGGAGTAATTTATAAGCACTTATTTCTATGTAGTTTCAATTAGTGATATAAATCATACTGATAATTTCAGTTCCAACTCTAACTTAAACTATTCATATAAAATATACAATAAAGTTCAGTAAATTTTCATGACAAAATTCTGAAAAAATTTTCTTTAACATACCGAATACGTTTTGAAAACTTTGATCTTTCTTTTTTGTTCTGTTTCTTGGAGCTAAACTGATGTAATGACAATCTCCAATCTGGCTCACGACCTAAAAAAACACATGTCAAATTATGTCATGGGAATCCAAGAATGTATATAACATTAGCATTGCATGTGTGTGCTACTTGGACACGAAACAAATTAAATTTTTGCAAAAATCAGAATGTTGGTTATCTTGTTTGAATTATTTTACATTTTGTCTTGCGGCAGCCTTTTATAGCTTACTGTAAACATGGTAAATAGTTCAAAATCTAATTAACAGAAAATATTTAAATTCATCTGGAAACATCTCCACTCCATTTTGAAAGGGTAATTTTCTCCCAGCCCTTACTAAGTTTAGTAACATTTGAAAAAAAATTAAAAAGGAAAAAACATAAAATGATTTAAAGTAGTTTAAATCCTGGTTTTTTATTCTATAGTGTATAGTTGTCTAATTGGCAATCATATCAATAGTTTAATATTTTAGTAAAATGCGGAAAAATGTCCCATAAAAGGTCCTTCCATCTCTCATTGCTACATATATCAATTAAATTTATCACTTTCATCTGCAGCAGTGAGAAGGTGTCTGATCAACAAACATCAAACAACCACAGCATTTAACTGATTATAATGATTGATGTATTCTTGTCTTTTGTTTCAATTCAAATGCCTAATTCTATTTTACTAATGTTTGTAAATAAAACTAGAGGCTCTAAACAGCCTGTGTCGCTCACCTAGGTCTATGTGCATCTGCCACAATGGACAATCTCCAGCATTGTGGATTAAAATAGAATTCATTACAAAAATCTCTTGTCTGGTTGATAATTTTTGCTATCTAAAGTATTTCTAATAGATTTCAAGATAATAGGTAGGACACTAAAAATGGGTAAAATCGTCATTTAAGTGCAATAAGTCCAATAAGGAGGGAACTGATAATTATGGTCAGTAGACCTATTTGTAGATCTTGTCTTGCTGATTAATTTGGCTCATCTAAATTTCTATCTATCTATTATAGTTTTTCAGATATTAGACAAAACCACAAAAAATTGGTAAATATCATTATCAAAGGGTAATAACTCCAAAAAAGGGGTTGTCAAATGATTTCAACCATGCTCACTAATTTGTAGATCTTGTCTTGCTGATCATTTTTGCTTATTTAAGTTTCTATCTATCAATTATAGTATTTTAGATATTGCAAAAATGCAAAATATTTGTAAAAATTATCATTAAAGGGCAATAACTCCAATAAGGAGTCATCTGACGATTTTGACCATGGGACTTCTTTGTAAATCTTGTCTTGCTGATCATTTTTGCTATCTATTATAATTTTCAAAATAATAGGCAAAAATGAAAAAAAAATTGTAAAATTGGCATTTTAGGGCAATAACTCCTATCAGAAGTCATCTGACAATTTTGATGTAAAAAGACAAAAGGTAGATCTTATCATTCTGAACATTTTTGACCCTGTCAGATTTTCTCTATTGGTAGCAGTTTTCAAGATAATAGACAAAACTTGCATTTTACCCCATATGTTCTATTTTTAGCCATATCTGCCATTTTGAAAGACGGGCAAGGTCATCAGACACATTTTTTAAACTAGATACCCCAGTGATGATTGTGGCCAAGTTTGGTTAAATTTGGCGCAGTAGTTTCAGAGAAGAAGATTTTTGAAAAAGTTAACGATGATGGATGACGGACGCCAAGTGATGAGAAAAGCTCACTTGGCCCTATGGACCAGGTGAGCTAAAAAAGCAAAACATTTATATTAGTCAAAAATAAAAACTCAATGATCTCAAAATTGAACCATAAATATGTTTGGACAAATGGTCGGACAATGTATATATAAAAATTAAACAAAATTCTTTTATGAAAACATATGTATATACAGAAGAGGTTTTTCCTTGAACAGGACTTATTTAAAATTGAAGAAACCCTCCCCCTAAAACTTTTTTAAAGTAGGGTCTGTACCAAAAACTAGGCACACATTAGGGTCACATAAAAAACACACACATATTTTTAAAGCATGCAAACTATATATATGCATGCTTCTTCTTTATTGATTTTGTTATTGGGGAAGAAAATTCACATATATATTCTATAAGACTCGGACAAGGCTTCTAATTTAAAAATTAGTATACATATATATAATTTCTATAACTTACTTAAAATGCATGCATGTTCTTTACGAATTTTGTTATCGGGATAAAAATTAACATTCTATAAGATTCAAGCAAAGGTTGCTAATTAATCTGTTAACATATAAAATTCTACAACTTATGCACATATACAAAATTCTAAAATAGTACCTTCATTATCACCTGGAAAATTTGCAAACATTTATATTTTATTTAAATGTATATTTGGTAAAAAAATATGCTTAAAAAGACAATAAAACAGATATGAAATAAGGCACTATAACCAATTCATCAAGCATGAAAGTTCCTCATTAAACTGACCTAAATGGAAAAAAAAAAGAATGGTTAAGAAAATTCAATCCCCATGCCTGTTTCATTAAACCCTAATAATTTAATATCAGTTTGGATAAGGTTTTGTTAACAGCCATTGAAATTCAAAACCATATTGTGCATCATCGCATGGTATAGAACAATATTATACAGAATAAAAGATCTGTTTAAAAATGAATGATGGGCTCTGGAGAAACTGTTGAACATACATGAGAGTTTTGATGAGGGGAATCTTTATTTCTATATTCATCAATTTTATTTTTCTATTTTTCTCTTTTCTTCATTTTTTTGCTCATTATTCTCTTTTCTTTATATTTAAGCACCATTATTTTATATTCTTTATTTTTTTTTTGGCCCATTATTCTCTGTTCTATATTTTTTTGGCCCATTATTCTCTGTTCTTTATTTTTTTGGCCCATTATTCTCTGTTCTATATTTTTTTGGCCCATTATTCTCTGTTTTTTATTTTTTTGGCCCATTATTCTCTGTTCTTTATTTTTTTGGCCCATTATTCACTGTTCTTTATTTTTTTTGCCCATCATTCTCTGTTCTTTATTTTTGGCCCATTATTCTCTGTTCTTTATTTTTTTTGCCCATTATTCTCTGTTCTTTATTTTTTTTGCCCATTATTCTCTGTTCTTTATTTTTTTGCCCATTATTCTCTATTCTTTATTTTTTTTGCCCATTATTCTCTGTTCTTTATTTTTTTGGCCCATTATTCTCTGTTCTTTATTTTTTTGGCCTATTTAATCTCTTTTCTGTAAACCAGATCAAGACCCTAGTACAGAGACCCTTCACAAATATTTCTTCAAAGTGTAGGGATAATGATAAGTGCCCTATCTAAGACTTTAAAACAATGTTTTCATTTTGCATAGAAAAGGAATTACATAGAGTTACCTCCCTTCAAACATGAAATTCATTTTACATTATACATGCTCTCTCAAAATTCTTTTGAGTAAATTTTCAGATGCAAGTACTAAAATGAACCCTATAAATACTGAGCCTATAGTCCACAATTTCTTTATCAAAATCATCCTTGTGCTAAGACTCTTGTATCTTGCCTTTCCATAAATGGTTAATACTGATATGGTTCAACCTTGGGCAGGGCAACCTCATTTTACATAAACTACCTCTCATGTGGAATTTGTTTTTTCCATCCATCCACATTGCCCAGCTAGCCTATGTCACTCAAGTAAATGTCTTTTATTTTGTAAAAGTGCTTATCTGATTATATTTGAAATATACTTATTTATAGCCAACTATACAGTATGGGCTTTTCTCATTGTTGAAGGCTACAATGGCCTATAATTGCTTACATCCACCTCATCTGAACTCCAGTGGATAGCTGTCTCATTGGCAATCATACCACATCTTCTTATTTTTATATCATATATAGCCAACTATACAGTATGGGTTTTTCTCATTGTTGAAGGCCATATTATACAAATATAATTGCATACATCATCGTCATTTGAACTCTGACGGAAAGTTGTCTCATTGGCAATCATACCACATCTCCTTATTTTATATTGTAACTTTTTTTATATAACAAAAAGAAACAGCATATCCACTTTATATGGCCATAGAGGGCAGGCAAGAAGTATGCCCATAATGTAATTACTCCCATGGTCGGCAGGTAGATAAAGCAAAATCTATCAGAGCTGTAGTGTACATAAATGATATATCAAAGTTCAAAGTTTATGATAACATTACCATCTATTATACTGCTGTTTGATGGCACCACTTCAGTTATTCGAATCCGATGACGACATACAGAATTAGCTTCTGAATTAGTCATTCTGGCAGTAGATTCAGCTCTCCCAATATAGAAACATTCATCTGGGGTTAAAAGGTGCTTGCTCTGCAATAAAATAAAATTCAGATGTGAAACATTGATAAGTATAGAAATGAATACAGTAAACTAACTAACTTTGGTGAGTGATCTATTTTCAGGACTTTGCAAATATATATATTGTTTGTCATGGTCCAAGTTTGTGGATTTTGTGGTTCCCTCCAAACACAAATTTAGCAACCCCAAAATATATATCTTAAAACCCCACAAACTAATGATGTTTTAAAACACTATTAAAATTGATACCCATGAAGAAAAAGTAATTCCACAGAGTACTATCTGTTCTTACAATTTTTTCCCCAAAAAACTGGAAGGATAAGTTATTTTTACTTGCAATGAGTAACACGACAGGTGCCACTGGTAAAGCAGGATCTGCTGACCCTTCCAGAGCACAAGAGTTCTTCACCTGCTCTTGGTATAGTTCGCTGTGCTCAATCTTTTGTTTTCTGTGTGGTGTTTTGTCATTTTGTTCCTCTTTTTGTCTTTTTTCTTTTTTGCCATGGTGATGCCTGTTTTATTGGGTTCTTTTATTGTCCCCTTTTTATCTTCTCTCTTCTCTTATATCATATAGATCTTGGCATTATACAATGTTTTAAACAAATAAAGCAAGAATAAATGATCATTATTTTTAACAGTACAAAATGCTTTCTTTTAACAGAATTTATTCTGACCAAAATATTTGATTATTATTATGTTAAACACAAGGCAATTCAATTTAAAATAGCTTTTGTTGGCACTGAGTAAATCATTGTGAAATAGAGTGATTGTTGATTACTGCTGGAAATAATAATACTGATTTAGGGTGTGGATTGGGGGTCGTTGATTTCTGTATTCATTAAAATTTTAGGGCATTTTTCTTAATCTTTAAAAAATAATGCTATTTCTGTAAAATTCTCATGAAAATGATTTTACTATTAAATTTTTCTATAATTACTGTAAATTCAGAAATTATTGGAGGTTTTTATTACTGCTAATAATCCGTCTGGCTGAGTATCGCAGTAATTTCTGAATTTACAGTAGAAGTTTCTTTATTCTGTAATCAGTATTGTGTAATCTTATTCATTTATTTTTCACAGTCTTTCTTTATAATTTTGTACTCCATTATTCTCTATTCTTTAGATTTTTTTCTCGTTTTCTATATGTGTTATTTGTTTTGGCCATTATTCTCTAATCTCTTAACCCCATCCAGACCCTAATTCATGTAAAATGTTACCAAGAAGAGCCATTTTTTAACTGCATCACCTTATGTGTTAGAAGGTTCATGTACATACATTAATTTCTGTCATTGGGATATCACCAAGAGATAGCCTCCGCTTCAGGGGAATTTTCTCATTTTGCTGTACATCCTCAGCTTCCATGGCAGTGGAATTCTTTTTCATCATTATCAATTTTTTTTTCACCAGTTGGTGATTTATCTCTGGATTACTTCTTGTTTCTAAGTTTCCCAAGTCCCTCCATTTCACTGATGGATGGAAGTTTTTCAAGCCACCATTTTTCTCTAAGGTTAATGTGTCATTTGAATGTTTTTGTTCAGGATCTTTTTGCAAGGAATATAGAGAAACATTAAGACCTGGATTGTCTATTCCATTTGAAGACTTTGCATAATACTTGCCACCTTCCAATTCCTCATCATCCTAAAAAAAATAAAAGAACAAATTAATAAAAATGTTTTGCAGTGATCAGCATAGAGTCAAAAACAATTGAATGGGGATTTATAAGGTTTTCTAGGGAAGAGTGGTGCCCATCTTTTTTCGCCCTTTTTGAGGTGGAATGACAGTAAAGCGTCATATACCAACTGAAAGGGATTTGAAGGGGAGGGGTTGTCTTAACTGAATTTTTCCTATAATATCTTTAATATTCTTTATGGATTAAAATTCAAATAAACTACCAAACCAGCTGAAACATTTACTTGCATGACTTTAAACTCTTGTATGTAATTAGAGTATTTTTATAAATACATTGAAAAGGTCATCAGTGCATTCTTTAAATTTTCTAACAGAGCTTTTCCAGTCCTCAACACTTATATTGCAAAACTTTTAACCTTGAAACATTACATGTAACTGTAGTTGAAACTGTGTTTAAATAAACTGCTGACACAGAGATATGTCTCGCCTGTCCACATAATATTCAGAAAAAGACAATCTGATCGACAGCAACATTGCTTATTAATTCAAAGTTGCTGGACCATGATCTTGTGGGCAGGGCCTAGAAATGGTCAATAAGCTGAGATGTACTGATAGTAATTTAACTTTATACAAAATATTATTGATCTGCCATAATTAGAAGTTCTTATCAAAATGACTTGAGCAGAAAACTTAACATTGAAAATTGCTAATTTATACAAAGTCACTGGACCATGACCTTATGGGCAGGGCCTCAAAAGAGTCGTCAAACAGATATGTACTGATAGTAATGCAACTTCATACAAAATATCATTGATCTATCACAAGTAGATCCTATCAAACTAACTTAGCAGAAAGCTTAACATTGAAAATTACTTACATATTCAAAGTCACTGGACCATGACTTAGGGAGCAGGGCCTTGAAATAGTCGTCAAACTGATATGTTCTGATAGTAATGCAACTTTATATAAAATATCAATGATCTATCACAAATAGTTCCTAGCAAACTAACTTAAGCAGAAAACTTAACATTGAAAGTTGCTAGTTAATTCAAAGTTGCTGGACCATATCCTAGGGGGAAGGGCCCTGAAATAGTCGTCAAACTGATATGTTCATTTCCCATAATCAAAACTGTATGAAATTCATAGGTTTTTACTTGGCCTTTAATAAAAATCTTGTTTCAGGGTACGGTTTCCTGCTTCGAAAAGAGCTACAGTGGCTGCAAATAAGTTTTCAATTTTCACTGCCAAAAAAACAGGATGTTTACAGTGTTGTCTCCCCTCAAAACATGTATATTTAATCTAGTTTTTTAAATTATTTTAATCATTCAACCTGTTTAAATTGAAAGCCAATTAACTAATTTTTACAATCAAATACAAAAAACATGATACTTCACCAATTATATGAATAAAAAGGGATTTCCCTCCATGGTTATTTTTAGTCGGGGAATAATCCCTAGTTTTTTATACGAAACTGTTTATAGCACCCTTAAGCAGAAAACTTAAGAACTGTTGACGTCACCACTGTCGCCATTGCCATAAAAGCAATCCCTATGTCTCGCTTTTTGCGTCTAGCTTTCGTCGCAGGAGGGACAAAAATGTATACCCAGCTGTTAGAAGCCTGGTAAAATTCCACTGGACTAAACAATAGATAAAAGTGATGTATATGTCTAACATTTTCAGTAATAACTTCTTTTTTTGCACTATTATACAAAGTTTAGCTCATAATTTCATTATTATTTATTTCTTTCCTAGTTTGTATTAAAATTAACTTTATTAATTAGTGTCTCCAGTGTCTTTTTTAACAATATTCACACTATTCCTAATGAAAAATGTGAAGAATACCTTTAGTAAGCATGGTAAGTGAATAAGTAGCTAGGTGATCTTATTTAAATCGGCACATATATGCAGAACAAAAAGTAACATCAGCTCCAAGGAGCTCTTACAGCAGACTACATAAAACATCAATATTTATACACTGCATTGCACTATACAAGTATACAACCAATTTAATTTAATTTACATCTATTTTTACAGTTCATTGCAATAACGTGATTTTTCTGATTTTTTTCTGAAATTTTTTATACCAATTTAAAACAAATCCACTGTATCATAAGAAAATGCTAGAAGTGTTCTCACCTGAGTTTTACTGTCACATAATTAACATACCGGTACTGTTCTTATAAAAAGACAAGTATATGTACATCATATGTTTAATTTCATAAACAATGATGTCGAACACATCAAATTGGTGTGTATCAATGTTAACATTAAACAGACATACAAAAATTCATATATAAATTTAATTCCGTGGAAAAAAAACAACATCCCCAAGGCAAATGGACAATGTGACTAAATGCTGTTATATGTAAGATACATGTATACTCAACAACAAAAAATAAGATGTACACCACTTCTTAAACAAAAACATTATACTATTTATAATTTACAATTTTTTTGTGTTCTTTTGGAATGAGTTCAATAGAATTTCACATGGACAATATTTTTTTTTAGAATCATCATTATGTTGGAATAAAATTCTATTTGAATGGAGTCAAAAGATTCCATTTTAGTTTTTAACAACCATAATTTCATTGACATCCGGGGTATAATCATTAATAACCCAAGTCTCTTATCTCATTAAACATGTTAAATAGATGATTTTGAATTCATGGTTGAATAAAGACTCATTTTGAAAACATTTAATGGCCTAAATTGGATTATGTTTCAACTATTTGTGAAGTTTTTGTTTTACAAAAAATTTAAACTCTATTAACAACTGTGGATCAGTATCAACCAAATACTTTAACTAAAAAAAAATATATGAAATACACTTATACATATATAAAGTTTAACTGAAAATAAGTGGTGTGTTATTTAAGTTGTTGTTTATATATTAGTTTGTATCATAATTCATCAATCTTTATTGTCTGACATAACTACAAGTCTTATAATCTGTGTAGAAATTTGTCAAGTCTCTATCCATCAGTTTTATATATACACAACTGTAAATATTAATGCTAATCCTATTTAAAATATATGACTTCCTTAAATACAAAAATGACAACTGTCAACATATACATGTATTTATAAGTACTCAAGATGGATGGGAGAAAAAGTTATAACATTTATCATCCATCTGAGTTGAAATTTTTACTGGAAAAGCACAGATATAGAACAAAAGAATCCACGTTGACAAAACAAATAAGGGAAATCTGTCAAAAAAACAAGTGCCAGGGACTAGTAAAAATTGGTTCGGGCTAGAGAATATTTTCAAGAAAATAATGAAAAAAATATTACTTCAATAAGTAATTTTATACGTCTTTGAAATAGTTAATATTCATTAAAAATTAACTACAAGGGTATAGTCTTACAGACCGACTCTTACTATATAAATCCTTGATAATTACAACCAGACAAGGAACATGATATTGATTTGGCTCACAAATTATAAATACATGTAACTCTGAGTCTCAATTAAATTGCAGGTTTCAATCAATTTATATCTGTCTACCTTTACCCCCAAAATTTCTAAGGAAAATTTTAGTATTTGTTAAAAGTCCCAATTTACTAGACCAATTTTTAACCGCCCGTATGAAATTATAAGGCGTATTACGACTGGAAATAAGGCGTAAACCAGGCGTAAGTGGTAGTTATGTGTCTAGATCCAGGCGTAAGGGAGCAGGAAACGTAAATTTGTAGTCCTTACGGGCGTAGAAAAAAGTGGTAAACCTGGCGTAAATTGAAATAAGCAAGGCGTAAATTTTCTTACGGGCGTAAAACTGTTGGTATGGCGTAAATCATAATACCCATAATGCTTTGTTTAAAGGATCATGGGAATTTTTTTCAAAATTTGGCTCTTTGGTTTTAGTTTGCAAGAGTTGGACTTATGGCAGCTTCATATGTTCAGGGATAATTAGCTTGTTTTGTGCTTTTTGGAAGAATTTGAAATTGGAAATATGGAATCAAATTGATTAATAAAAATTGTGAAAAAAATGGAAAGTAAAACATGGTAAATAATAATTATGTGAGTATAATCTAAGTTATTAAGTTTTAAGTAAAATCTAACAGTAATTTTGCAATCCCAAAACCTTTATCCTTGGATAATAACATTAAAATCTTTTACATGAAGTTAAATTGCAGTATTTAATCATTATATTTTAAAGGACATTAATTTATAAAAAACTTAGTTAATTAAAATGCTTAAGTTTTATTTCAAGAAAAATTAATTGTCATAATTCTTATTTAAACTTTAAACTTATTTGAGCCAGTGTCTGTCTAAAATGTATTTATTAATATATTAGCTTCTTCAATGGTTAATATTTCCAGTTTTATGTCAAACAATGAGAAATTAAAGCAACAGTACAGAAGTTTGTATTAAATACACAAAAGTACACAGCTAGGGTAATACACTGATTTGAAATAAGTGTAGTATTATGTAAGGATATTACGCCTGGTTTATTTATTGACCAGGCGTACTCATTTGCATATTACGCCTGGTTTTCTCTGGACCAGGCGTACTCATTTAAATATTACGCCTAATTTTACGCCTGGTTTCCGCCTCAGTTACGCTTGGTTTCCGCCTGGTTGACGCCTGGTTGACGCCTGGACATGCATTCCTTAAACACTGCAATGACGCCCGGAAAAAGTATGATTTTGACGCCTGGTTTCCGTGTCATATACGGGTGTCACAGTTCGTACAGGCGGCGGGCAGAAGCGTCAATACTAATATAAATGTAAGTGCGCCTGGAAGTAATTAGTGTTACAGATGGATTAGTTTAAACTTTATTGGAAAAATAACCAGATGTCTGGAAAAAAAATTAAGGTAGAAAAATCAATATGAATGGACACCTTTGTAAATTTCATTATATTATATATAAATTAATATGTTTAAAAGAGCCTCATTTTCAACATAAATTGTATAGGTAATTTTGAAAGTTATCTGTTGAAGTAATGAACTGATTAATGAACATGATGATAAACAATAACTATATCATTTTGTATTTTTCAAT